TTATTAATAAAATGTATGTATTTATTAAAAAATATTATCATGAATGTAAGTATAATAACCCGTTCAACTTAATTATCATCAAAATCGAAAACATCATCATCGAATTGATTTGTACTCCGCCCCTTTTTGTGCACCCTTTCGTCTAACACCTACATTAATATGTTATAATTATTAACAAACAATATACATAATTATTTACAATTTATATCATAATTATAATGTATAATAACCTTTTCAGCTTCATTATCATCAAAAACATTCTCATCAAATTTATTTATAGTTCGCGCCCATCATCTAAAACCTACATTAGTATCTTTAAATTATTTAAAAAATATAAATATTTATTAACAAATTATATCATAAATGTAGTATGTCACTAACCTTTTCCTCAAAAGAAAATTTTGTTTGAAATTGTGTTGGTTCATCAAAATTTATGTTGTTCCATATACTTTCGTCATCCACTTCTTCCACAATCACCTCGGTGCGATCTCAGTTCCTATACACCTGTTGTTCGAGTTTAAATAACCGTTTTGCCAACTGTTCTAAACTTGGTTTCCCACTTCGTCCACCTCTATCGCGGGAGTGACCACTAGAAAATATATTACACGTGGATTCGTCTTGCCTCCTAAAATGGTTTCGTACTGGGGATGGAACTGAATGCAGTTCACCATATACATATTCTTGACATGATATATAATAAGAAGAAGATCTTCTCTCATCATCACTCGGTGCCATGCTATATCTTGGTCTCCAGTCCTCCTAAACAAATTAACATATTTATAATGTAGGTAAAAGTTCAAACATAAAATTTAAATAAATAAAATAAAATATAAAAACCTTTGTCATATCAAAAATATTGTTCACGTCAACTCATTTCAATTTTTTGGTTGCACTCTATTGCTTCATCCGAGGTGTATCTTTGTTTTTTTCATAACATAAAACCACCACCTCAAACAGATGGAAGTATCTCATAGAGCCATATCTATAATTTTAGCAATTATATTAATAACAATTATAACAACTAAAATGCTTGTTATATCTTAAAAATAATTGTATATTTGTATACCCTGAATGGCACCGTAAATCCTGACATGGAGTATTTGAAAGGTTGATGAGACTCAAGTAGTGATAAATATTTATTTATATTGTTAAATGTATCTTCAAGGTCATCGTAGAGAACTCCCATAAATAGCTATGCTAAGCAAAACTACAATAAAAACTTTTTGTAACACCCAAAATTTTCAAACAATTTTTACATTTTTCCAAAAACATACTTTCATTCGTAAATATCATAAAAATGTCATTGTATCATATAACAAACATAAAATTACAATCCCAAGATCATAATGCATAAAAACTCCTTGTGTGTGTACTGATCATGTCGGCGCCTTCATGCGATCCTCACTGGTACCTGAAACACATAATACAACACTGTAAGCATAAATGCTTAGTGAGTTCCCCAAAATACCACATATAACACATATTAGCCACTCGAGGCTATAACTCTGTGGACCCTCTAGTCTCAACTCTATGAACCTTCTGGTTCTAACTCTTCAAACTCTGAAACATACATAGCATAAATCACATAGAAATCATGCAGCGTATCACATCAAATAACATACAAAATAATCTGTCACATAACTCTAAGTACCACTCTAGGTAAAGTATAGTGAGAAGACTCACCTCGGTTAACTCGACAAATCTCGAAATCCGTAAAATCTGATCTAGCCTCCGCCTAATCATATGAAACAAACACTCTAAATCAATACATCTCTCAAGGCTAGATTATTCCCTCTCTTAGTACTCTCAGAAGGGTAAAAGACCATTTTACCCCTTTCATGGCTCCAAGACCATAAAGCTGACCAAACCCTAAAAGTCAACAAAAGTCAACTTCTCCAGGTTACGATGTGCGTACCAAACGTGTACGTTGGGGCGTACCCGGTGTTTCCACAAAAATGGGGTGCACGAACCCTTACGCCGCACGTACTGGGATTACGCCCCGCGTAACACCAAATTCCAAACCCTAAGCTTTTGGGGTCTTAAACAGTTAAGACCCACATCCAACTTATAGATCTGACCACCACTAAACCTCTTAATCCATAAAGTTGGTGACGTTAAGCCTTTGCATGGCTGGACAAGTCACTATTACCCAAAATATTCCATTTCCCAACTCTAAGGAGCTCATAACTCAAGCATGACCTCATATCAACGACCAAGATGGAAACTTTATGGATCTATAACTCGAATACTACTGAAATGGGACAGATCTAGGTCCATGGAGCACATTACATTCATAAAGTCTCCACCATTAGGACTTTTAACCCTAGAAATGGTGCATGCAACACCAAACCAAATAAGGAAGAAATTTTTGAACTTTATACCTCTAAATGAAGCTCCTTTCTCTGAAGATCTCAGATCCAACCTTGCACTTCAAGTCCTGACCTCCTCAAGCTCTTCTCCTTCTTCTTCACTAACACACCAACACACTTTTAGCTCCAAAACACATACACTCAACTATGGACGATGGAAAGCTCTCTCTTAGGGTTTCACTCTATGATATGGAGGCTGAGAAATGAGCCTTAGCATCCTTTAAATAGGGCACAAGCCAAGCATTTAGGGTTTGCATCTGGACCCATTACGCTCAACATAAACCTAGGTACGCCCAACGTACCCAAGCAACTCCGCGTCCAAATTAAGTGCATGAGTACGTGCAGCGTACTCCCCAGTACGCCCAACGTACTCATTGGCTCCAAATTTCTCTCAAGGGACCACTCTTGGAAATTTGACAAAATGGAAGGGTTTAATAGTTTTACCTGGATTTCGGGATGTTACACTTTTAATTATAATAAACATTATCATAAAAAACATAAAACTTTCAAAGCCTACAAATAATACCTGTTCCACCCATCCAAGTTCTCAGCTAAAAAAATAGTCTTGTGACACACGATCATTTGTTCTTTTCCCAAAAAAAATCACACAAAACGTATATGAGACATGCTCTAACTGCATCATCTACGGTAGCTGCTAAGAATGGTTTATCTAAAATAAAACTTTTCAAATCACATATTTCTACTGAACTATTTATGTGGTTCGGAAAGAGACATTCCCGCAATAAACATCTTTTTTTACTACTAAATCTTTTTTCTGACACTTTTTTCCAATTATTTTTGGATAAACTCCAAAATTAAACCCAGGTATCAAACAAAACTCTTCTAGGCCATAAAACATTTTAGTATCCCCCCAATTTTAAATACAACCGCTTTATGCCATCTGGGGATACTACTACGTCCGGTCGTAACTGGTGAAGAAACGTTTTATGAAACAACAACTCGCCCCCTTGTAATTGATGGACGTCCAACAAGTAACACAACACAGTGTTCCTAAAACTTTCCCATCGCATACCATGTAATACTTTAAATACTTGATATATGTTACATCCCGATCCTTTTAGGTTAACAACAACTTTAACATTTAGATTTCTATAATCATGTTGGAATACAAAACTGTGTTAGAAAACATATTATTGTACCAAAAAACTTAACAACTTATAAACTATTATATTTATAAAAAAACTTAGACAATTACAATCACAAAATAAACCAAATATTTGTTTATAATCAGGATAAGTAAACCAATTATATATAAAAAAAATATTTCTATTTATAATCATTTATATAACAATACCAATCAAATAAACATTTTTTTGATAAACTATATATACAACATCAAAATGCAAATGCATAACATCATCAAGTAGCAATAATCATTATTATATAAAAAAATCATATTATTAAATATATTAACAAAAAAATACATCCACACAATGCATAATTTATGCATTATACATTTGTACAATCATACATATACTTATCAAATATCATCAAAATCTCAAGGCTACTAATAAAATCATACATATACTTATCAAATATCATCAAAATCTCAAGGCTACTAATAAAATCTAATAACTATCAAATATAACACATAAATCTAAGAAAATCGAATAATAAACCCCAATAAAGTTTTGTTTTTTTTTTCTTCAAAATTTTCGGAATAACACGTAAATAAACAAAACACCTAATGTTGATAAATTATGATTAAAACAGAAAATGAGTAAAGATGTTAACATATTATCGGGATTGTTTATGAAATCGTCAATAATCGCAGATGGTTTAAGAAAATCGCTTCCCAGAGAGAGTTTTCCAACAAAAATGAGTGAAAATGAAGCAAAAAAATTACTTTTTTATTCCTTCATTTTTGAAAATCGTAGATGCCTTACTATGTTTGCAGATGGACTAGTCCATCTACGAACGTACAAGTCGCTAAAGCACGACTATGCCTAAACGACTTGTACGTTCGTAGATAGCTTGCAAAAATCACAAATGGTTTTAATCATTCTGCGATTTTGATACTAAAAATATAATTTTTTTTAATATTTTCTACAAAGTAATTAAAATATTTGACTACATTTGCATTTTCTTATTATATTACCTTATATTTGTAGATCCTACATAATCGATTCTTTCCATAGCATTCTGTTCATTGTAACATTTGTGAGACTTATTTTTATTGTAACATTCTGCGAATCAAACAACACTTTAGACTATTTATTTAGATCGTGATAGTATATATTTTGTTTTCTAAAAATAGATTTTGATACATCATATATGAACCAATTAGATATGAAACCTGTATATTATACGGGTTTGATAAAATAAAAAATTAAATATGAAAGTTTAAAGAAAAATTTATTTAAATATGAAATTTAAAATTTAAAATTTAAATTTAAAAGAAAACATATTAAATAGTATACTAATATTAGTATAATTTATTAGTTATTTTTAATTAAAATAATTATTAATTGAGGTGTAAATATGATTGTTAATTAAAAAAATATATATTTTATAAAAAAACAAAAAAATCACATTCGTCTAATTTTCATTTATCAAGGGATTTTATAATTCTGATTTGATTATTTTAAGAAAAATTCATCATTTAATTATCCCACAGGCACATACCCATATTTTTAGCTACAGAGAATCGTGTGGATTGCCTTGCTGCTTTATCTATTTCTCATCCCTCCCTCACTCTCTCGCTGACGGAGAGAGCAGCCATGGAAGCCTCCAAGCTTCCATGCTCATTCGCTCCATTTCCACCCTCCACTTTAATTTCAAGAAATCGTACGAAATGCCACCATTCTCTTTCCCCTGGTAATTTCCTTCCACTTACTCAGTTACTCTTGCCAAATTATTCATCAGTTAATGTGCTCCTAAACCCTTCAAAATTCACGATTATACTTCAGAACTGAATTAATTTAAGCACTTGAATTTCCATGATGATTAAAGCTTGATTCTCGTTTGCTAATTAATTGACCTATATTCAGATTTCCAGTTCGTTTGCAGATACATAATCGATATGAATACCGTTATTTTTGGAGAAATTTTGATAACTATATACAAATTTTGTATCAAACAATACAATACATATATATTGATATAAATTCGTAACAAAATCTATGTCAATTCCAATACCGAAAAGAATTAGGTTTGACCTTCAAAAGTCAAATCATATCTCCTCCCATGGAACATGGAGATCAACATATATTTGTTATCAATCGTTAACAACAAGTAAATTAGAGCTAAGGTGTTGTTTCTTTATGCTTTAATTGATCAATTGATATAACGTAGTCATAAATTCATTTGATAATTCCTATATATGTGTTTCTATTTCACCTAAATTGATAAAAAAAGCTAACAATACAGAGTTTATTTGCAGGTTTTTGGAATTACAAAGACTTTATTGTACAAAGATTATCACTAATCTATCCTTCTCACTTCCCCTCTAGAAACCCCAAAATGCAACTCATCAGAAATTCATCAGGTTTAATCATTAATCCTTAATTCCTTATATTAATCAATATTTGACATCTAAAACAATAATTGAAGTTTATATAATCTTTCCTTATAGCTTCAGTACAACCACTCACAGAGGATCATCATATAGAAGAAAAACATGAAGAGGGTCCCACAAGTGGAAATTCAATCCGTAGGCGATTTCTTGAATTTTATGCTGCAAAAGGTCACAAGATTCTTCCAAGCTCTTCTCTTGTCCCTGATGATCCTACTGTTCTTCTCACCATTGCTGGAATGCTGCAATTCAAACCTATTTTTCTTGGAAAGGTATTTAAATCACTATTTATTAACAGAAACAGGCTGTAGAGAAACAGGTTATACTGTGTTTGACATGCATTGGACTGAGTGCCCAAGGACAAAAATTGAAACTTTCTTTTTTGTCTCACCTAAAAAGGTTGTACAAAACTCATTGTTGATCTCATGTTTGTGTAAAAGACATGAATGCCCTTCTGATGGTAATGATCGAAAATAGGCGTAGAAAGTTGGGGGCATTTTGGTCAATTTTTGATGGTTTTGAAATATGTTTTTCAGGTGCCAAGACAAGTAGCATGTGCTACTACTTCTCAAAAGTGTATACGTACGAATGATATTGAGAATGTTGGAAGGACTTCTAGACACCATACATTCTTTGAAATGCTTGGGAATTTTAGTTTTGGTGATTACTTCAAGAAAGAAGCTATAAAGTGGGCTTGGGAACTTTCAACCATAGAGTATGGATTGTTTTTTTTTCTCAAGATTTTATGAATAAAATGATGTTTAAAAGATTGTGTAATTTGTCTGAAAAATTTCCCTTAATACTTGTTTATTTTTATGATTTGGTTTCAGATATGGATTGCCTTCAGAGAACTTGTGGATTAGTGTCTATGAAGATGATGAAGAAACATATGGCATATGGCATGATGAGGTGAAATATCTTCTTCATACTAGCCAACATATTAACATCTTTTATCAATAATAACAATATGTAACTTGAAACTTGTAAAATATAATTGATTTTTGCTTAAAACTTGCAAATAAGGGTACTTTTGTATCTTTTGCTTCAGATAGGTGTTCCTGCAAATCGTATAAAGAAAATGGGTGAAGAAGATAACTTTTGGACAAGTGGCTCAACGGGTCCTTGTGGGCCATGCTCTGAGATCTACTATGATTTCCATACCGAAAGAGGGTTTTCAAATGCTGTAAGTTTCGTGCAAAAGACGTAAATGCCCTCCCTTTGGGTGAGACAAAAAGTAATAATTTTTGTCCCATTTACATCGGTCTCAAAAAGGGAAGGGCCTTTTTGCTCGTAATGTTATTGACTTTGTTGTTTTGTTTGTTGACTTAATATTCATATGTAGGATTTGAATGATGACACAAGATTTATCGAGTTTTACAATCTTGTCTTCATGCAATTCAATAAAAAAGAAGACGGTTCTTTAGAGCCTTTAAAACAAAAGAATATCGATACGGGTATGGGCTTAGAACGCATGGCTCGCATCTTACAAAAGGTACCAAAATCTTCTTTTAGATGAGAAGGGTATTTACGTCTTTTTTCACGTATGTAAGGTCTAAAGCAAGTCCATGCCCCATCTTTTTAGGCAAGACAAAAAGCTGCAACTTTTGTTTTATTCACATCAGTCTCAGTTCCAATCCCAATACATTGGGCACTACAACCTGCACACTAGGTTAAACTTCAGATGAGAAGGATATTTACGTCTTTTTCACAAATGAGAGATCTGGGACTAGTTAGGTGGGACAAAAAGTTGTAATTTTTGTCTAATAGCTTAAAACTTTCAAATTTTTAAATATTTTAGAACTTTTTTTTACAGGTTCCCAACAATTACGAAACGGATTTAATTTTCCCAATTATCGAAAAAGCAGCAGAATTGGCAAGCATATCATATGCTCTTACAGACGATTCATCAAGAACAAAACTCAAAGTATGCTATTCATTATTCAAGAATCAATATTATTATCTTTCCAATTTATTCAAAAACTTTATATTAAACATTACAACTTTTTAGGTTATCGGTGATCACATGAGAGCAATCGTGTATCTTTTATCAGACGGCGTATTCCCGTCAAACATCGGCCGAGGTTACATTGTCCGACGGCTCATTCGACGGGCCGTACGTACCGGAAGATTACTCGGTATAAAAGGAGACGAATCGGGCAACCTCGAAGGCGCGTTTTTACCGATAATCGCCGAAAAAGTAATCGATTTAAGCACAGAAATCGACCCCGATGTAAAAACAAGAAAAACGCGTATTCTCGAAGAGTTAAAACGCGAAGAATTACGGTTTATTGTTACATTAGAAAGAGGAGAAAAGCTTCTAGATGAAATGTTGGACAATGCTTTGGAATACGCGACACTTCACAAAACCACCGCTTGTTTATCGGGAAAAGATGCTTTTCTTTTGTATGATACTTACGGGTTTCCGGTGGAGATAACCATGGAGGAAGCGGATGAGCGTGGCGTTTCGGTAAATATGAGTGATTTTGATGTGGAGATGGAAAATCAAAGGAGGCAATCACAAGCTGCTCATAATACGGTGAAACTCACAGTTGAAAACGGGTCGGATTTGACCCAAAATGTTCCGGATACGGAGTTTATCGGGTATGATACGCTTTATTCTAATGCGGTGATAAAGGGTATTTTGTTTGGGGGTAAACCGGTAATTGAGGTTCCCGAAGGAAGTGAAGTTGAAGTTTTATTGGATCGGACACCGTTTTATGCGGAATCCGGTGGTCAAGTTGGGGACCGAGGGTTAATAAAAGTCAACGGGGGCAAAACGGGAATTACTGCCGTTGTTGAGATATCCGATGTTCAAAAGTCGTTAGGGAACATATTTGTTCACAAAGGTACGATAAAAGAAGGAAGTGTTGCGGTTGGTGGAGAAGTGGTAGCAGAGGTTGATGCAAAATTACGACAAAGGGCAAAGGTAGAGCAAGGTTTTGCTCTGATACCATGGTGGAAGTTATTAGAAGCATTCACAAAAATGACCACGTTGAGCATTTATTAATAACCTAACTTGAGGTTATTAACTTCGATGCTCAATGATCATATGGTCATTTTTGTGAATATCATACGGGTTATTAACTTATTATATAATTTGGAGAGAATTTTTTAGGTACATCATACGGCTACTCATTTGTTGCAAGCGGCGTTGAAGAAGGTTATAGGACAAGAGACGTCACAAGCGGGTTCGTTGGTGGCATTTGAACGGCTGAGATTTGATTTCAATTTCCATAGGCAACTTCTTGATCATGAGTTGATGAAAGTTGAAGATTTGATCAATGAGTGGATAGGAGACGCAACGCCTTTACAAACTGAAGTCATGCGGATTGCGGATGCTAAAAAAGCAGGCGCGATTGCAATGTTTGGAGAAAAATACGGCGAAGAGGTGTTTTTTATGGCCATATTTGTGCCACATGACCTGATACTGCGTTCGGTCTGCATTGGGCTGAGACTGCAACTTGGACTAATCTCAATGGGACAAAAACTACAATTTCTTTTGTCCCGCCTAAAAAGGTGGGACATGGAGTCACTCACGATCTCTCGTTTGTGAAAAAAGACATATATACCCTCCTCATCCTGAACATCAAAAATAGCCCTAGAAAGCTTGTTTAGTCTCCTCTAGTCTTATCATGTCCAATGTAAGAAACGCAGCCAGACTGCGTTTCTTACACCAGACTGACTTGACTAGACAGGACTGGACAAGCTTTCTAGGGCTATTTTCGATGATCAAGATGGGAGGGTATATGCGTCTTTTTCCACGAACAAGAGATCGAAAGCGAGTCCATGTCCTACTTTTTTTCAGCGAGACAAAAAATTGACAAGTTGTCTTGCTAAAAAAAATTTACATACGATTTATGATGTTTTAGGTACGTGTTGTAAATGTTCCGGGAGTATCAATGGAACTATGTGGAGGCACACACGTTAGCAATACTTCAGAGATTCGTGGCTTCAAAATCATTTCAGAACAAGGAATCTCATCAGGTGTAAGACGTATAGAAGCCGTTGCTGGTGATGCTTTTATCGAATACGTTAGTGATCGAGATAACTACATGAAGCAGCTTTGCTCCACACTTAAAGTAATCCATCCCCATTGCTTTTTTTTTTTTTTTTTACATTTTCTAAATTTCAAAAGTATATAAATTTTAAATTCTTTGATCTTTTGGTGTACAGGTAAAAGCAGAAGAAGTGCCAATGAGGGTGTCTTCACTTTTGGAAGAATTAAGGACGACAAAAAACGAGGTCTCGGCTGCACGTGCAAAAACAGCGGTTTACAAAGCATCGGTTATTGCAAACAACGCTTTTCATGTTGGAACCTCAACAAAAATCAGGTTCAAATGGGTTTGACCTAAAAAGTCAAAAAGTCAACTATAAATCGATTTTGTCAAAGTTTTAAAGAATGTTATTCTTCAGGGTGCTTGTTGAATTTATGGATGATACGGATGCTGATTCACTCAAAACCGCAGCCGAACATCTTCTTGATGTTTTAGAAGATCCTGCAGCAATAATCTTGGGGTCGAGTCCCGGTGAAGATAAAGTGAGTTTAGTGGCTGCGTTTAGTCCTACGGTAGTTACTATGGGGATGCAAGCGGGGAAGTTTATCGGACCGATAGCTAAAATGTGTGGCGGTGGCGGTGGCGGCCGCCCGAATTTTGCTCAGGCGGGTGGCCGGAAGCCGGAGAGTTTGTCGAGTGCACTTGAAAAAGCACGGACTGATATTGTTAAGGTTTTATCTGAAAAGGCAAGCTAAACCTTACAACACATCTCACGATTCTTGAATTTGTGTATAGTTATTCAACGTTGCTTTTATAGGAGTGCAAAAAAACCAAACCGTTTTGGAAAACTGATCGTTTGGTTTTTGGTTCTTAGAAAAAGTGATTTTTTCGGTTAGGTTAGGTTTTTATATATATAGAATTTGAAAAAAAAAAAAAAAAAAAAACTGAACCGAAATACAAAATACAAGAGAATGACTTGTTTTACATACAAGTTTAATTGAGTGAGTATGTTAAAACCTAGAATATTAACATGGATTTGTTGCTTCCGATGAAAAGGTAAATAATTGTCGACATGATAAGGCCAAGGGGTATGGCGTGGTTTTTGATGCGTAATAGGTGATATGGAGTTACGCGTGAACACCACCCGCCCACCCCCACCCTCACCGGTGAATGTGACGTGGATTGATGGGTATCACGTATGGTTACGCA